CGAACCCGCGTCTCCTGCATCGGCAGGCGGACTCTCAAGCACTGCGCCACCAGGGAAGCCCCCCCACTTGCTCTTATTGGCCATTACTCATAGGCCATTACTGAGACCTGTCAAAGTTAGGTCCCTATAAGTTCAGGGGCTTGCACTCTGCCTTGCACAAGAGATACTCACTGTGGTGGTTTTTTTCAGGTTGGGTGAACAAGCCTGCTCCAGAGCAGGATGGCTCTGAAATTGATTTGCCAGGGATAGCATCAAAGAGATCCCAAGAGGATGAATACCAGGATTCTACATTTGAAGAAAAATATGTATGTGAGAGCATGAAGGAAAACCCTCCCAGAGAGGTTCCTGGACCATGCCTTTTCCAAGAAGGTTTTGGGGGAATAGCTTTCATCCACAAGGAAGCACCTCCAGAAATGATGAGACAAGAATATAATTTTGAGAGAAGCCTGCTTTTGACCTCAAGCCTTGTTACACATCTCAGGGTTTCTACAGAAGAGAGCCTACATCAGTGGGAGACAAGTAGCATATACACCAATGAGATTTCAGACCAAAGTAAATGTCCAATCTTCTCTACACAGAAAAAATCTTGGAAATGTAGTGAATGTGGAAAAACTTTTAATCAGAGCTCATCCTTTACCCAGCATCAGAGAATTCATACGAGACCCTACACATGTGAGGAATGTGGGAAAACTTTTAGTCGTAGCTCATTCCTTGTTCGACATCAAAGAATTCACACCGGAGTGAAACCATATGGATGTGAGCAGTGTGGGAAAACATTTCGATGTCGATCATTTCTTACTCAGCATCAGAGAATCCACACTGGAGAGAAACCGTATAAATGTAATGACTGTGGGAATTCCTTCCGCAATCATTCACATCTCACTGAACACCAGAGAATTCACACTGGAGAGAAACCTTATAAATGTAATAGATGTGGGAAGGCATTCAGTCAGAACACACACCTCATTCATCATCAGAGAATTCACACTGGTGAGAAACCTTATTTATGCAATGAATGTGGCTCTTCTTTTCGCAAACACTCAAATCTTACACAACATCAGAGAATTCACACTGGGGAAAAACCCTATAAATGTGATGAATGTGGGAAGACTTTCCATACAAAGGCAAACCTCTCTCAGCATCAGAGAATTCATACTGGAGAGAAACCCTATAAATGTAAGGAATGTGGGAAAGCGTTTTGTCAGAGCCCATCCCTTATTAAACACCAGCGAATTCATACTGGAGAAAAACCCTATAAGTGTAAGGAATGTGGCAAAGCTTTTGCTCAGAGCACCCCACTCACTAAACATCAGAGAATTCATACAGGGGAAAGACCCTACAAATGCAGTGAGTGTGGTAAAGCTTTCATTCAGAGCATTTGCCTTATTCGGCATCAGAGAAGCCACACTGGAGAAAAACCGTATAAATGCAATGAATGTGGGAAGGGCTTTAACCAGAATACCTGCCTCACTCAGCATATGAGAATTCATACTGGAGAGAAGCCCTATAAATGTCAAGAATGTGGGAAAGCCTTTGCTCACAACACGTCTCTTACTGAACATCATAGAACTCACACTGGTGAGAAGCTCTATAAGTGTAGTGAGTGTGAGAAAACCTTCCGCAAGTATGCACATCTTAGTGAACATTACAGGATTCACACTGGTGAGAAGCCTTATGAGTGCTTTGAATGTGGAAAATTCTTCAGACATAGTTCAGTCCTTTTCAGACATCAGAAACTTCACAGTGGTGAATAAACCTGGCATTCAGGTTATGACAGTTTCTCTAGAGACAGTGACTAGGAATCTGGCTGGGGAAGAGGGACAGGAAGAGTTCCTAGAGGAAAGGATAAAGGAGCCTTGGATACTGCACTCAGGAGGGTATTTTGAGAAATGGAGGTGGGAGCTTGGAGAATGCAGAGCCTACTCCAGGTGGGCATCTGGGAATACAGGGTAGGAAAGAAGTTCCTACTTTTCACAGAAATCCTTGCTCTTTGCCATTCCTTTGTCTCCATGGCATTCTCATACCTGGAGATGCCATTTAAGTTAGCACTGTGTTTCCCTTATTACACCCCTGCTTCACCCTCCCAACTTGTCACCTGTGTTCACTGGTCTTAGGCTGAGGTGCTTTTCCAAATTGATTGTTGGTGTGAAAGTGGCAGCAGCTCTGAGGTAGTGCTGAGTAGCCTGCAGATGCCTGAGGCCGCTCTGACCATGCCACTGTGGGGAGGCTGCCCATCTGTGGAAGTGTTCCCTTGAAGGGGAGATAGAAACAAGTGAAAACAGAATCGTTAGTCATTCATCTATTCAGCAAATAAGGGGATATGTGGCAAGAGCTGGGCTGATTGCTACAGAAAAGTTGGTGAAGAAGGCTTTTATCAGGGTGAGGGAGAGCTTCCTGAACCTTTCAAGCTGGAGGGTGACTTGGGGCTAAGAAGGAAATAAGAGATCAAGAGAGACTTCTCTTGAATGATGTCAGTTTGTGGGAAGGAAGTCAGATCTGCTCAGAGGGTCACGGAGAGGAAGACCTAACCTCTTTCCCAGAGGAATATTATCACCCAGAAAGAAAATGGTTTGTGCTAGGCTGCTAGTGCTAAAAGACTCAGAGCAGGAAGCTTGCCTGTGACTGAGCGAGCTACCCACATATCCCTGTCCTAGACTAAGGCGTACACCTGTCTCTTGTAAGTTTGGCTGGGGCCAGGGGAGAGGGGCCCACTAGGATTAACAAAGTGGGACTTGGTTTGTTAGCCTTTAGAGAGGAGAAAGCATTAGTGATGAAGTGGTCACCGTAATGGGGATGGCTTCATGGCATTGGTGGCTCTAACCATGGATTCATTCGATCTCAGATATTTCTGTTTTTATTGGGTCTCTTTTTCCAGGATATTTATCATTCCCTGCGGATTAGGAGTATCTAGGGAAACACTTCTCGTGGGATGAATTTGGAAAGAATTCTAGAGAGAATTACCTCTTTTTCAAATCCCTGAAAATTGAGATAACACGGTTTGCCATGACTGTGATGGTATTTTATTCTTTTGAGAGAAAGGAAGGGCACGTTTCCCCTTTATTTCCCCATTCTCTTTCATGTTCTTAACTGCTACCCAGAGATTCAGCTCTGGAATATTAAGTGAGGATAGCCTTTGACTAGTATTTGAAATAGTTTCTACGCTCTGAAGCTTATATAGTTTTAAAAATATGATTGTTTAAAAGCTAAAGTAAGTTAATTCTGGAATGGTTATTTGGAACTCAGCATCGATTTTGTTTTTTCCAGAGCAAGTGTCTTACAAGCATTGGTTTGAGCAATTAATTAGCAATAATGGGGATGTGGCAGAAATAACATACTTTTCCCTCTCCAGCTATAAAGATTATGTTCTCAAACCTGCCATAGGACAATTCATAATTGAGTAAATTAATATCTTATGGGCAAAAATAACCCTATGAAAACTTTACATTTTATGCTCATGGAAGAAAAAAATAGTCTACTGAAAGCAAATGTCAATGTATTTTTTTCTAAATGAAAAAAAAAACACTAAAATTGCTAGCATGTAGTAAATGTTCAATAAATATTTGTTGAATTAATATATTTTAGTCAAACTTTGCCCACCAAAAACTTTAGGAACTTCCTGATATTTAGAGTAATATTTATATGCTACCATCTTTGGAGTCTTGAGTCGTGATTAGAGAGGAAAGGGAGAATTTTCTTGAGGAAGAAATGGGAAAACCTTAGGGGTGAAAGATGCCTAAGTTGCTGTTAGAAAGATTTTCTAAAATGGAATGGAGAACATGGATTAAATGGAGTTTTTAATCCTCAGGTTAAGAGTGTCCGGTAACATTTTTACTTCCTGGAGAAGCAGGAAGGAAAGGAACGTATCATCTTTACTCTCATCCTATATTCTCACCCTTGCAATATTTGCTCCTGATTTTCTCTCAGTTGCTGGCCCACCATATACCTAGCCACTCCAGCTTGGCCCCAAGTCTAGGAATTGTCCTCTTCCTCAGCCTTCCCTCGTCATATCCAACCAACCACTATATCCTGTTGACATTACGTAACTCCTAAGTCTGGAAGCCATCTCTACTGCTGCAGATTTATTTTAGCTCCCTGGTTTATTTCCTAGGCGATTTTTATGTTTTCCCAACCAGTCTTGCAGTTTCTTGCCCCACTAGGCCATCTTTCACATTTCTTCTGGGTGGTCTTTTTCAAGACACAACTGTGGCAGCTCTGTTGTTCTCTCTCTGAATAAAGTGCTAGCCTCAACGGGCATCTGAGTCTCCTCATCTGGCCCAGGCCCCCTTTGCCATTCTCAGAGGACATTCCTTGCATGTTCTGTTCCATAGTGCAAGTTCCTGTGACTCCTCATCATCTCTGGACTCTACTTTGGCACCTTTGCACATACTGTTTTCTATGGCCTATTTGCCTTCCTTGCTTCTGCTTGCCTGGGAGGCTCCCATTTGTCACTTATGAATGTGCTCAGGCAACATCTCTTCAAAGCTGTTTCTGACATCACATATTTTTGTATTATTTCTGTGTTTTGTAACTTCATCATTTCATGTATCATGTTAGGTTGTAATGGCTAGTTTACAAATCTTTCTCTTTCCCCTGAACTGTCAGCTCCATCAGGGCAGGAGCCATGTGAAATTTATTCATCTTTGTATCCTGTCTCTGGCATTTCGTAGGTACTCAATAAATATTTGTTGAGCTCAACTAAAATCAAGTCAGACATTTCTCCATGCCCACCTACAGGTTGTGACTTAGGTCCACAGTTATCAGCAGAAAGGAGGTATACATGAGTATACCTGAGCAGAAAGGTGAATACATGAATGTGTCATGAAGCGTTTGCCAGAAGCAAGAATTCTGCACCTTCCTCCAAGGTACAGAGTGTGTGGTCCACTCTGATACTTTTTCTTAAGAGATCCTACAGAGAGGATCTCTTAAGAAAAAGTAATATGTAGCAAAGAATTTTTTTGGTTTTGTTACAAATTAGGCATTTAAATGTCCCATCATAGTTTAACAAAGTGCTTTCAGATATACTGATGTCAGGGTCGATAGGAAGAGGAAAATCCATGCAGGTGTAGAAGCACAGCTATGTCAACTGGAATATCCATGAAATAAGAGAGACAGGAGCTGAGCAGTGATGCTGGCCTGGCAGGAGAGGAGTTTTGCTGGAAACCCCAACATGGAAGCTTATGTCTTTCCTTGGGCTCTGGAATGATAAGGGATTAGAATGTGTTGCTTATGTTCAGTGTGCCGAAATGTAATTTGTGACTTCAGAAGGACACGGGATGAGGCCACATGAGATCCTCAAAACGACAGAAGGGAAAACAGAAAGATGGTTGGACTTGCCCAAGGTCACACACCTAGTCTCAGGTAAAACTGAAACTCCAGTGTCCTTTTTTTCCCCTCAGATTTCTCTTTACTGGTTGTAATTCTGCTCCATGACGCCTCTTTACTTGTGTTTGTTAGGCCTTACTCCTGAGAATGGGAGAAGCTCACTTTAGATCAAGAAGCTTTTTGGCCCGCAGAATAAGACCTTACTGCATGTAAGTGAGGGTGAGAAATAAGTTGATTTTACATTTTGACCCCATCTTCCTTTCCACATAATGCAGAAGTCTAGTCTTGACCCCGGGTAGCTCTAGTTTCACTCTCTTGCAGCTACTCTCTAGAGCAGGGCTAGGATCATTTTAGTTTTGTGGAATATTTTTGGTGTCCATTCCTCCAATCCATTTTCCACCTCTCATTGAAAAATCTCAACCCAAATTGCAGTTAAGCCCCAGATTCCTGTTTCTAACCTACTCTGCCTAGGGTACCCCACTCCAGGGTTAGTTTCCACCCGGCGGAGCCTGCTGATTTAGAGATTCTTTGAAGCCTAAAAGGGGGGAAATGAGTAGGCCTAGGCTCTGTGGTATGTGGGATGTTAGGGCTATGGAGGAAGAACCTGCTATCTTGCTGAGACTGTGACATTGGGTAAAAAGAAAGGCAAGCCCAACATTGTTCCCTGGCATGTCAGCTAACAGTTCTACAAAGGGTCCCCTTTTAGCTGAAGATGGTTAGTGATGGTTTCAGTCTGGCATCTCCACTCCTGTTTTCAGCATCCTAAATGGATTCCATTTTGGGAAAACAGTCCATCTGGAAATTTGAGCAGGTAACTGCTGCAACTCATTCATTTATTAATTGTTTACTGAGAACCTGATCACACTAGGGATGTGATGGTAAGCAGACAGCCCTATTTTCCTGAGCTTGCAGATCAGTGGGAATGCCTGGAAGTAGGTCAGGTGCCTCATTGCCCATGCCTTCATCCCTGGGATACATTTGTCAGGATGAGCCCTTATGCGCAAATATTCCTTAATGAGGATCAGCAGTATCTAAAGTTTCCCAAAAATGGGGCAGGGGTGCTACCTGGAAGGCTTGAAACGTCCTGGAAGCCAATTCAGTCAATGGGGGACTGGAGCTGGGATTTGGGGAACATGATAGGACGAACATTTATTGAGCATTTTTCAAGTACCAGAAATTCTTGGTAGTTTACACGAAGTAGCCTCATTTAATCCTCACAACCCTGTGAAACTTGGTATTAAGGAGTGCACACAGAGGGGTAAAGTAACGCCCAAGTTCACACACTGAGAATCTGAGCTCGTCTTTTGACTGATTGTTGAACAAACATCCGGAAGGGTGTTTGCTGTTCCTCTGAGGAAGCCAATTATCCGGCAGGTGAGAATGTGTATAAGAGTGTTTTATAAGCTTTGGGAAAACCCTTAGAAGACCTCCA